ATGCCCACATTTTACTTCATTTAGCAAACGATGATAAACTTGAAACATCACAGGATATCGATAATTTGATATGTGCAGAAATTCCAGATCCGATAGGTAATCGTAAACTTTATGATATTATTAAAACTTGCATGATGGCAAGTTTTAATAATATCATAAAGTTTTTTAATAATGGCCCATGTTGGATACTGAATCCAAATTCTCCCTGAATGAAAGATGGGGTGTGCAGCAAAAATTTAGAAATGAGTCGACTTGTCGAATGTTTGTTTGTTTTTCGAATGTCGAATGTTTGTTTGTTTTTCTATTTAGACATTGATAATAATATTGAAGCAAGTAAGTTAAAAAACATTTTTAAATTTTTAAAAAGAAAAAAAAATACTTTTCAATATATATCTGCTTTCTTAGAGGTAGATTTAAAGTTTCAGGTTTTTAAAATCACATATATTATAATATGAATTTTTTTTTTTACTTAAAAAATATCTATTTTATAGTTACACTGAGTCGTAGAAAAATAATTAAAGTTTATTAATAAGGTAGTAGATTATTAGAGTAGATGAAATAGTTTGATCTATTTAATCAACTTAATAACGTACTACCAAAGTGAAGATCTATTCGGTTGTTTGTTTGTTAAAATTTAGTTAAAGTTTATTTAAAATTTAAATTCTTTAGTTAATCAAGAGAGATCTAATAAAGGTATTAATTACATTAGTTAGTTAAATGTGACATTTAATATGTATTTAGTCGATATTTTAACGTCTAAACATAAAAGTGCTTTTATTGTTTAGACACAGAAGTGAAGAATCAATTAAGTCAGTGTTTTTGCTATTAGATATTTGTTAATAGGAATTTGTTTATTTGTACTGCCACTGGAATTTTAAAATACCAAGTTCTTTGGCTTTATTTTATACTTTCTTTTAGGGGTTTTAACAAAAACTAAGTAAAAATTATGATTAGTTTAGTTTAATAAATAAAGCATTAATATTTAAATATAAAGTTTACTTTAGTTTATAGTTTTTGTTAAGTTTATAATTTTGGTTAGCTTTAGTTGTTTTTTTCTTACTTTAGACAACTTTATGGATGAAATGAGGGGGATGGGTAAAACAATTATTTAGATATGTATATATTTATATGTTAACATTATTTTATCGATTATTTTATTTTTATATAAGTATATATTTGTCTTTAGTGTCTGGTGGAAGCTTAACTGGTAGGGCTGTGTTTTATATTTTATATATTTTGTATGGAGAAATATGTGCAATAGGTGGAAAAATTAAATAATAAATATTACATTTTTGAACTGGTTGCATTATTGCCCTACAATTTTATTAAAATAAAAAATGTTGCATGCACAAATGTTGCACCCTTTTTAATTTGCTCTCATTTTTTTTTTAGCATCTTCTGTTTCAAATGAAAATGGTGAGGTTATGCTAATTTTTATTTTTAAATAAAATTGCAAATGTATAATTTTTATTATATCTTCTATTTGTAACTTTAGATTCCTTAACATTCGAAAACTATAGAACTTACCCCTCCCAAGACCTGGGACCTCTCTCAGAGAGGTCCTTCAACATATGGAGAGATAAAGGCGGAATTGATGAGCCCTCCTTCAATTAGAGGGCTCATCCATACCGGGGTGTTAGGAGACACCGAAGAAAAAATAGCAACCAAAAGGTTGTAAATGTCTTCTATCAGTGAAGATATGACTTTTTGGTTGCTGCTTTTTCTTTGGTGTTTTTTTTTTTTTTTTTAATTTTTTAATTTTTTTTAATTTTAATTTTGTAATTTTTTTTTTAAACATATTATGCTGTATATTTGATTTGTTTTGATTTTTTTTAATGAAAATTTAAATTGTTTTCTCACCAGTTAAACCTGAACTTCAAAATATAGTTAAATTGATTCATTATCTAATTATCATAATATAATGATGCTGCATTCTATTGTTAAAAATAGTTATTTGGTAGTTTTATTTATTGAACTCACTGCTTTTAAAATTTACTAAAACCCAAGGCAATATATTTAGCTATATAAATACAATTTATTTATATCTTGATTCGATTCTTTATCTTTAATGTTTATAGTTTGGCTCCTTGAAGCATTTTATGTTAAGCTTTTTATTAAGAATATTTTAAATCCATTGTGATGTCTTTAAAATAAAACTAAAGTTTACTAAAAGCCAACATAAAAATAACATTTTTCAACAACACCGACAAGAACTGCTGCATCCCTACAGCAACTGCTGCAGTATCACAATAGGTTACCAAAAGCAGGTATATTGTTTTCCAGTTGTTGTTTTTTTTATATATATATCTACTTATCTATATAATACTATAGTACGATTGTTTATATCTCATTCATTTTTTTTCTTTATCTTTAAGTGTTAATAATTTTGTTCCTTTGAATGAGATTAGTTAAACAAGTCGGCTTTCCATTAAAGATATTGGTTTCAAAATTGAACACCATTGCCAAAATGCTTACAAAATTAGGTAGTTTTTAAAAATCTGTTTTCTATTTAATATACTTTTTTTTTAATATACTTTTTTAATATACTTTTACTAATTTACTTTTCTATAACAATCCTACTAATATGGAATCACGTAGCTTTTTAAACAAGTTTAATTGTCGTCCCTATTGGTAATAAATATTTTTAATTATTTAATATGGTTGTCTTTACAATAGGCTATGCTTGGCTCCTCGGTGCTGTAAATGGTGGCTTCAACTTTAATTGTTTTTTTAAGAAAAATGTGTTTTATGTATGCTTCTGTTTTAAAATATTTTTGTTACATATTTAACTATATATCATGTAAATAAATTTCTTTTAAAGATATGTAAATTTAAGACTTGCTTTTTTACGGATTTTCAAAAAGTGAACAAAGGTTTAAATATATTTTTTCACTGTCTTATATGGTTTTATCAATTTTATTAAAGCTGAATAATTACTTCAAAAATATTGAGTAAAATGCAATTGCTTTTTTTATTAACCTGATCTATACAAAAATTAATGAAATAAAACTAATAATTTTGCACAAAGTGAAGGCAAAATGTATTCCGGACATTTTATAAAATTAGCATAAATATGGATTGGATGTATGCTGAAATATATATGTTGAACACGTTAGCTATAAAGTATATCGATATATTTCTTTATCATTTTTTTATAAACAAGTTTCTGCTGGATTATTAATTAAAAGAAGATTGGTTTAGTAATAAGCTTTATCATATAATAATATAGGATCCGAATGCAGGGATAAGCCCTTTCCAGAATTGCGGATATATTTTTCAACTTTTTTTCGGTTTTTCCGGATATCCAATTTCTATGCCTACAAGTTTGGGTGTAATATTTTAGGTGTTTTAAAAATATTTAAAAAGTATATTAAAAATATTGAAAAGTTTAGGTGCAATATTACTTTTATTACTCTTCACTCAGTAAAATGAAAACTTTGAATAAAAAAGAAAAGACTCCGTTTAAAGCAAAATTAAGAGTAAAATATATTCCGAATATTTACCTAAACAATTTTACAGAATCAGGAAATTTGACATCGATGATCTATGCATATAATTTAAGTCATATATTAACTTTACATGGTTGTGATTTGCGCATTCAATGTCTGAACATTGCAAAAGAAATGGTTAACTTTAATGAAGCTAAGAGTTCTCTTAAACTAAGAAGCAAAGAAAAATAAAAGTAAGCACAACTAAAAAAATGTACAAATGAATTGATATTTCATTAGAGAAAATAAATAAAAATCAAATTGTTAGTAATGATTTATTTAATACTAACCCGTATTACGGGTTGCTTACTGCTAGTATAACATTATTTTATAACATATAACATTAACTAATAAAACATTATTTTATAACATATAACATTAACTAATATAACATTATTTTATAACATATAACATTAACTAATATGATTTCACAAACATTAATAACTAACTAATATTGTTTCACAAACAATAATAATTAACTAATATGATTTCACAAACATTAATAACTAACTAATATGATATCACAATTTTGAATAACTAACTAATGATTTCACAAACATTAATAACTTACTAATATGATTTCACAAATATTAATAACCAACTAATACGATTTCACAAACATTAATAACTAATGTGATTTCACACACATTAGTAATTAATTAATATGGTGTAAATAAGTAATCAAATAATTAGCACAATGTAAATGAGCAAAATTTACCTTCATTATTTGAATGTTTAGATTGAAATGATTTTTTACCATCATCATATAATTTAAGATTTTCAAACCCGGAGCAGAAACAGAAACAGTTAACTGGTATCCATTCATCTGATTGCAACTCAGTGTGCGATAATACTCCTTTAAAAATAGACTCTAAGGAATAATGACATATTGGATCAAACGAACAATAAAAAAAATTCTTTGAAATTTCTAAGCGATGCTTTACAACTGATGAGTTTTTTTCTTTTAATGTAAAGCAGGATTCAACCAAAGAAAACTTTTCTTTTAACTGATAATGATTGATTTTATTAATTCTGTTCCAAATCCTTTTTAATGCAACCTGAGATAAAATTCTAGATGTCATATGTTGTGCTTGCATCCATGGAAGAAGAAGAGGAATTGCAGTAAATGAAAAGTCAACAAAATCTTTTTCATTAAGCAGTTTTGCTAACTGAGTAACTATAGATAAAACATTCACTACAGTTGGTAATATTTTCTCAGTTGCATACTCCATTTGTTTCCAAAGAGTATTGATATACTGTGGCTTTTTATAATAAATATAAATAATAGACCATTCAATAAAACGTCGAACAGATGGCTGATTATCAATTATTAATGATGGATAAAGTAAATTTAAAAACTTTTCAAAGTCAAACTCAGTTGGTAAAAAATCAAGTAGAATTAAAACCATTTGCCAAATGCGAATTTTTTGTCTGTGAATAATAGAATTGGGATAGTACACAAATTTTGATTTTAAATTTGTAGAATCATAATTAAGTAATTTAAACAGAAACTCTACATAAATTTCTTCAAAACCAAATGAATTTTTCATTTCTAAGATAAAATTTACCAGCAACACTTTAACATGACGGTCTTGAAATAAAACAGAGTTTAACTTGGGCATAATTCTGTAACACTTCTCAGCATTTAAAAAATCAATAAGATGATTATAAGGCTTTATATCTTTATTATGTATTGGGCCAAACACACAAGCTTCTACTAAAACATCCATATATTGACGTACACAAATGGCAGCATTTGATCCCATAGCTCTAAAAGTTTTTACAAACTGTTCAAATACTATGTTAACAACCCCTGACTTTCGTGTCCCTAACTCATACAAATACAACCAACAACCACGAATAGCATTAAAAACATTTTGGTGTGTTATCTGCAAAAATTCAGGGTTAATAATACCCTTAATGCAATGCTGATATATTCTCCAAAATGATCGGTTATTTGATGTTTCATTAATTACTTTTTGTAGAAAACTTATAAGAGTACAAACATCTTCAATATTTTCCAATAGAATACTTGATAAATGTTTTGAAAACTCAAGAATTATTTCTTGTGTTTCATAAGATGACAAGTCCATATCAATGTAAAATTGATTTAAAATGGCATCCTTTTGTTTAAAAAAACTTTTACTACCATTACATATGAAAAGTTTTGATAAACAATTCCAGCATGTTGCAATAAATTTATCACAAGTAAAATATCCTAAATTGTTTTTGAAAATATCATTTAACCAACTTCGATTTACATTTAAAAATGTAAATATTGATTGTTGATGCTGAAATGGCCATTTATATATCATACTTATACTCAACAAATTGCATAATGCATTCGAGCAACAAACTAATCCAAGTGGATCATCCTTTATTAGAGACAAGCGTGTTGAAACTAACTGCTGAATTTTTAAACACAAAGTACTCATCGTAGATTCACAAATAGTTTTAAAATAATCTGAACAGCTAACAAAAGATATATATTGAGAAACAATGTTTAAGCATTCTTCAATATGTTCATCATCATTAGAACTGATTTGAAGTATGTAGTAGTCAGCTATGTCTTTAAAAAAATTACCAAGATGATCAAACAATGAAATTAAATTATTAAATTCATTACTATGTTGAATAACTTTCAAAAAATTGATAATGATTTTAAAAACCTTCTGTACATTTTTTTTTTCTAAGTATGGGTTGGTGTTAAGTCGGGAAACAATATCTATTAAAGAAGACAAAAGTTTGTCTGTTGATATCTCTGAAATTAAAATGAACAAAACAATAACAAACTTAGTGCTAACTGTATCACTATGAAGAACCATATTTAAAGTCTTAGAATTAAGATCTGTTTTAAACTTCCTCAACCAAAAGACCCAAAGAGACCAGCAAGGATCGTTATACATCACTAAATTTTCATTTAAACCACGAATTAAAATTTCTAAGCCATACTCAAAGTGATTGGTTGAAGAGTTTAACGTAAAAAAACTAGTAATGTTATAAAAAATAACTTGTTGATATTCGATTCTATTCAACGGAAGAAAATTGAAGAGAAATGTTTTCAGCATATTTAATTCATCTACTGACCATGCTTCAACAAGCTGCAAAGTCATAAAAGCTCTTGTAATGTAGACAAGAGAAAGATCACATAGATCCACATTAGAAAGAAACAGCATAATCTAAATATAAAAATCTAATTTAAAATGCAAAAAGTATCCAAATAAGCATGTAACTAAGTAAAAACTTAAACGATGAAATTTTTTTTTATTAGAGGTACGAAGTCAGAGTTATTGCCACGGTATACCTTCCACATACACTGCTTTGTGTAAAAAACATTTAAAATTGAGTATATTGGTTATGTGAAATTGAAAATTTAATTTTTAAATATAATAAAGTTGTTGATTTTTAAAAATAAAATATATAAACATCTATTAATTTTGTTATTGATCTTATTTGGATAATTACAAAAATAAATTCACTTGAATGTTGTCATTAAAAATATTATATAAAGATATGCAAGATATTTTTATTTTTATGCAAGATAAATCATTTATGAAAGATTACCATTTATTATCAAAACCCGTTATGTATTTGTTTCAATGCTGAAACAATAGTTCACTATTCAATTTTAGTAAATGACCATAAATTAATATATACATAAATTATCAGATGAAAAGTAACACAATATGCAAAAAAATATTTAAATACAATGGAACTTATTTTAGAATTTAATGGGAAATTTATTGTGAAATTCAACAAGGAATTCAACAAGGAATAAGGAAGTTTGTTAATTTTTACAAAAAAATTTAACATGGAATATCATTTAAATTTAAAGAATTTTTTTTTTTAATACCTTAGAAAAAAATACTCTTTTTTGATCACAACTTAAATTCTCCAGAACATTAATAAAAAAACTTTCTAATAATGAATACACCACTGGTGGGCTGCCATGTTGATCGTCATTGTTGCAATTAAACACATAAATAGACTTTAAAGATTCCATTAAGCCTTCAAAAATAAAAGTAAAGTTTTTCTGCTTTAGTAAAGGAAACTTATTCAAGTTCATTTGTAAAGCAAATTGTAGACCCCAGTTACAAAGACTTTTACACTCATGAGCCATGATTCTACGAAGTATAGCCAAAAACCAAGAAAAGTGAAGAAACTTTAAATCTAAATACATAAATAATATAAATATTTACAAAATTTGTAAATTCATATGTTGAGGAATACTATATAAACACTAAATTAACATACAACAGACATCTATGATGCCCCTAACAGACACCTCTAATGTCCAGGCATATAGAAAGTATAATATAAAATTATATTACAAAAAATAGCAATATATTTTTTGGCAATAAAACCAAATAAAAGACTATTTTGTCAAAATTTCAATAAACTTGAGTACACCCTATTACACAAATAAATTTTCAAACAAACATGATTAAAAAAATCACCTATAAAAATAGTTTTTTTTTATTTGGTAATTTTAGTTTTAAAAATTCACAAAACTGCACTACACTATGTTACACTACGCTTGCGATTTCAAATATAAAATATTTTGCTTATTCAAAAGGAAAAAAAATTTTTAAAATTATATAAAAATTAATAGGATTTTTGATTTTATAAGTTATTTTAAAACTGAAAAAAAAGAACAATTGAAACCTAAGTTAGTGTACAACAGTTTAAAGTCAAAACCGCACATTGATTTGCAAACCAATTAAAATCACACATTGATTTGCAAACAACACAAATCACACATTAATTTGAAAACAACTCAAATCAAATATTCATTAGCAGACAAGTCAAGTCACATATTGATTTGCAACCTAAACTTACTTTTACATGGAAGGTGAGTGATGCACAAAAACTAAAATTAAATCTTAAACTTCATTAAAAAAAAGTTCCTAAAAATTAGAGATTAAGTATTTTAAGTTTATAATCTACAAAAAAGTTTAAAAAAAAACTGAATGCAATTGAAAAAAAAAAATTCACTTGCAACAAGATTGTATGCAACCACTAACAAAGTCAGGAGTTAACAGAAAATAAAAAAGACAGATAACAAATATGAATGCATTTGACCAAAGACTTAAAAAACTGTAAATTGTAAGAGTTCAGGAGAGAATTCCAATGCACCAATGCACAATGGGCCAGAGATAAGCAAAACCCTTCAAAATCGACTTTTATATTGAAGTAATTTCTTTTTGTAAATGTAATCAAATTGCATATCAGTTTTACTACAAAAATGGCAATATTTTATTTTTAAAATATTGGTGAAAATTTAAAAAATCATATAAAAATGAAATAAGAGGGCAGCGGGACAATATTACAATGTTTTAATTTCTTAAAGGTTTTTTTTAGTCTATTGACCTCATATATTGAAATAAGAAGAAATTTAAAAATTTATTTTTTATGTTTGTCTTTTTTCAAAGTGTTTTTCAATAAAACCCCTTAAAATGCGCAACATTTTTTTAAAACTTACCTTTATACAAGCCGAAAAACACTAAACTGCACTAGTGACAAAATTTTGGGGCTTACTTGATCCCAGCTTCCAATCATTGCAATTTTTTGCAAAGTATCATTATTTGATATAAGTATAAACATACAAATGTTTGGAGTTTGCTCCATGTCTGGAAGTTAGCTTAAACACCAAAAAAATGCTGGATCCATCACTGAAGAGAATATTTATTATTTGTATTTATGTATGCAAAGAGTTTTTATTTATGTAAAAAGAAGAGTTTAGTAAAGAGTTAAAACTAGCTTGTTTACAAGAAAAAAAGATTTTTAATTTCTCGTTGTGTTGAAAGCAAGAACCAGGTTTGTGGAGCCGAACTAGTGAGCTTCTGTTTTTTGGTGGAGCCGAAGCCGCAAAAATCGAGCGGCTCTCGGATTTTTTTTTATATGAATAGAATGTATGTTGTTTTTTTTACTGTAGACAAACTTTATTCCTTTACTGTTTAACTAATTTGTTGAATGAATTATTTATTGAATTTCTATTTTTTTAATATTTTTTCAAACAGTTACAGTCTTGTCAAAATGTAATAAAAATGAATATTTTAACAATTTTGTGCTCAACAAAATACTATCCTTTAATAGTATTTCTTAATATGCTTTATTAAAAAAAAAGTAAATTATTTATGGAAACATTACAGTATTGCATAAAATTGCTTGATATTGTATTTTTATACTGATACTATGCTGTTAAATATTTGATGCGCAATTTAATGATCAAAGGTTATTCTTATCTTTTAAATTATACTAAAGCATGAGATCGTTAAATTTGGAATGATGAATTTAATTTTGTCACTAACACATTACTAAATTATTTTTTTCGCGTAATTACATTAAGTATTTACAGTATAAATTAAAAACATCAACAAACGAGTCAAAATGTTTCTCTTAATTAAAATGTCATTGAAACATTTAGAAAAACACAAATAATTCTGCATAACTATCTACAAAATCCTACTGCATTGTTACTTTCAATTGCTAAAGCATCTGTATCTAGCAAAACTACTGTTTATGCAGTCATAAAACAATTTATGCAGCCATAAGACCTCTCTATCTATCGAATGAGCAAAAGGATCTGAAGAAAGAGTGGCTTTAAGGAAAAGAAAGCAGCAATTAGTATTCGACGATCATTCACGCAAAACCCTAACTTATCGAACAGAGAATGAGCCAAAAGATATAAAGTTTCAGAGTTTTTTAAAGATTAAAATTTGGCAAGCAATATGCAGCTGTGGTTTGAGATTTTGAGTTTTTGTCACATCGTCAACTTTAAACTCGGATGTTTACATCAAAGAATACTTGCAAGCTAGACTTTTGCAATTTTATCGAAGTCACAATGTCCCCTGTTGATTCTGGCCTAATCTTGCTTCCTGTTATTATTCTAAGAAGAGTGGTACAGTTCGAGAGACATCAAATTTATACCAAAATGCTTGAATCCACCAATCTGCACACAGTTCCATCCCTTTGAAAAATTTGGGGGAATTGGCAAAGGATATTTGCATAAGACTGGCAAAACAATAAATACAGCTAAAGATTTGATTAGAGAGTTGACATTAGAAGGGGAAAAAAGGGCCAAAGACACTGTGCAGAAGTTGGTGTCGACGATTAGCGTAAATGTTCGCTTATTTGAAATAATGAAAAATATTTAAGTGGGCACGGGACATAAAAAAAAGAGGTCTTTTAAATGTTTTTGGAGCGTTTTGAATGTCTTTTGAACATTCAAAATAAGTCTTTTTTAGGTCCCATGCCTACTGGATACCCAGTGGGTACGGGACTCAGTGATGCCATTTTCATCTAGAAAATTATACTTTAAATGTGTCAAATGTGTTTTGTTCATTTAAATAACGCCCATAAAATGGAAAGTAATTTAATTGTGAAAAATAGTCATTTCATACACCCTAATGTTTTAAACTAAAACAACAGAGAGCACAACACAACTTCATTGTGTTGTGCTCTCTGTTCTCCAGGCCTCAAACAAATTATGATCTCATGATGAAAATGCTTTGCTTCTAAGCTACTAAGGTGTCCAGAATTGGACATCTTAGTAATTAAGTGGTCAGGGAAAAGTCAAAGACTCCATTAAACCTGAGGAGGCCAAGGGGCTCTTGATGTACTAATGTATGATGTATGTCATCACCTAGATTCTTACATATATATATAAAAAATATGTTAATAAAGCTCAATTTTAATGAACGTTATTTGTTTATATGCACAATATCAAAGAAATTAAGTAAATAAACCACACCTACCTGTGCAATTATAACTGTTTCTGGAGACCAAGTATGGCTAGATTTAATTTTCCTGATATCAATTTCATATTTTTAGACATACAGCATGTACCATATAATTGAAAAATCATTGGGATATTCCAGGACACCCTTTACTACCCCTAAAATGATCAACTGAGCGGTCATGACCACTCTTGAAGACTGAATTTGCCCAAAATCCTTGACCACAATTACCTGTATTTAGACATACAACATGTCCCATCTAATTAAAAAATATCAGGACATCTCAGGACCACCATTGACCAATACTTAAGTGACCATTTGAGCAGTCATAACCACTTCTAAAGACCAAATATGCCAAGATTTGAATTCCCTGACAGTAGTTACATATATTTAGATATACAATATGTCCTAACTTATTTTAAATACTAGATACTTATATCTAAATATATGTATCTAGTTTTTCTCCTCAAACATAGCACAGTGGGCCAGAATTGTCTAAAAACGGCAAAACTTTTTATGGGTTAAGTATAGACATATGATACATGTTTATAGGGGTTTTTGGGGCCAAGGATTTCCATTTTAATTTTGGAGTGGACATGATCACATAAGTGGTTATTTTAGGGGTTGTCAAGGGTGGTCATGGGGTTTCTCAATGGTTTTTAAATAAGTTAGGACATATTGTATATCTAAATATATGTAAGTGATGGAACAAGTAATGATGTAATGATATTTCAGTTGAGCAACTACCTAAGTAGTATTTTTAGAATAGAGGAAAAGATAAGATGATGGGACAGAGGCTTAATCTTGACAGCTAAGCAGTTCCAGCAACATTTACAATGAGTTATATTCACAATACGCTTGGAATTTGTCTAAAAAAAAGCCTTATTAAAAAAAACCAACCCAAATATGACATTGGTATAACATATAATACAAGGACATATAAAAGAACAGATAAAATGAGGTAGAAAATGGAATCAGGAGTAAGAAAATGCCAACCACAATAGAGAGGCAACCTTAGCAGATGCCAAATTTGCAATGGATTTCATATATAGCTTCTATGAGAGTTCAGAAGTAAATGATAATCAAAGAAGACTTAAAGTAAAGGACTCAGTAGGAGTGTTGATCAAGATAAAAATATTAACTATAGTCTGAGAATTATTAGCAGTAAACAACTGGAAACCAAATATATTTTCAAAACCACCATTAACTTGTTAAGGTATGGTGGTTTTGAAAATATTTCAGTTTCACAGGCTCCGATTGACCCAAAAAATTGGCATGAACAACATTAGTTTAACACATGCCTGCAAACAACATTAAACATAAATTTAGGGTCCCCCTCTCATAAATGGTATCAAAAAATGTTATTAAAAAAATCAATTTTTTTAATAATATCTTAAACTAGATCTAAATTAAAAAATAGATTTGAAATTTCAAAAATATATATATTTTTTTTTTGTTAAAAAGTTGTTAATATGGAGTTTACTACTCCCCAATCGACCTCCAACAATTTACATTAAATGATTTTACATAAATAATTTCACATTAATAATTTTACATAAACTTACATAAATGCACAACTTTTAAACAACAAAATTTTTTGGAAGCATATTTATTATTTATTTACTATTTAAAATCTGTTAATAAATTTTTTCATATTTTTTTAAAATATGAAACGCCATTTCTATGTTATGCCATTTTAAAATAAACCTAAAAACTAATCTGACACACTTTGTAGGAAATAGCTATTGTTAAAACTAGATAAATAAAAACCACATTTATTTTTAACAAGTTACTTTTTGTTGCATTATTGTTAGTTGTGTTTGGTTATGTGTTGTTTTTGTAATATCTTTAGTTGATCATTTAAAATCTAAACATTATTCACATTGGCAACGTCAAACTCAACTAACTCACAGTCTAAGTAGAAAAAAGGTTTGTTTAATTTGCTTTGAAAAGGGTAAAAAATTAAGTAAAATACAAGACAGTTTTAATGAGAATTAAAAAAACATTTTGTGAAAATATTGACTTAAGTAATAGCCATTTTCCAATAAAAATAGATAATGCCATTTAATAAAGTTACAAAGACAATGCCATTTAATAAAGTGACAAAGTGATATGTCTTGTTGTCAAGTGATATGTCTTGTTGCCAGGGAAGTGATATTTCTTGTTGCCAGGAGTGACAAAGTCTTGTTGCCAGGAGAAGCTTAACTAGTGGACCAAAAATAGAAAAAAAATGAAGACTTAATGTTAACTTTGGAGTTTTTCCCTCTTCTGGACCAACTAAATTTTATAAAAGATGTTTGAGTGTTATTAGACCGAGATTAGAGCAAACTCGTTGTGAAAGAGAAAAGAAAACCTAATAAAGAAACTAGATTTGATTACATATTAATTAGTATTATTTACTACAGTTATTACATATTATTGAATTTCTATAAAAAATTAAATTTTTGGATTCCAAAATAACAAAAGATATAGTAGTACATAGTTTAAAACATTTTTATTTAGGCAGAGGTGCCCAAATGTTCCACTCTAGAGGTGCCCAAGTGTTCTACTACAGAGGTGCTTAAATGTTCCACTACAGAAGTGCCTAAATCTAATGTTCCACTACACTTAAACAAAAGTTTGAAAATAAAGGCAACCCAAGGTTACCATTTCTACTCATTGTGAAATTTATAAATATATAACACATCATTGTAAAATTTTTAAAGAAAAAAAATTTCTTTTAAAGCTTTATTTACTGATTCACTATTTCCTACAAGTGAAGAGAACAAATAAAAAAATATATGTGGTCTCAGTAAAACACAAGTGAAGAGAACAAATAAAAAAATGTATGTGGTCTCAGTGATACACAAGGGGCTAAAGCTTGAAGTATTTTTAGAAGCTGGAAAGGATTTTGGAAAGGTCGAATATCACTTTAAAAAGATACAAAAAACTTCTTGAAGATGACACCATATCAATACTTTGATGTAAGACTTGTTAAAACGGATGAGATCAAAAAAGAAATGGCTTACTGTAAAAATATTCAAAGGCTGGGTAAAAATGTTGTCCAAATAAGAAATTCAAGTGATTATTCAAACAACTTTTTGAATCTGTAGTTACTCTCATCATACATATTTTTAAAAAATCTTTCTGATTAAGTATATATTTATTTTAATTGAACTTATTAATTATTCATATCGGTTTAATCATCTTTTTTTAAATTTTTTCTAGTTTAACCAATTTTTCTTAATTAGTTTTTCATGCTGATTCTGAAAAACATAATCATTTTTTTTCATTTTGATTATTTAGCCTTCTACTTTAATTTTAATAAAAGTGATTATTTTGACAAAAAAAGGCTTCGTTAAAAATAGATGAAATTATTATTATCATTAAATATAAGAAAAGTAGAAAAGTAGAAATCTTTTTCTGTTTAATTTATCAATAATATACATTATAATTATAGGTATTTATAAGTAACAAAAAAAATTAAGTATTATATATGAAATTTATCCAGTTTGCTATTTTTACTATTGAAAATGAAAAATAACTAAAAAAGTCATCATATGTGATAGAGGATTGCTGCGGTAACTTTCCATGTAGTACATTTAGGTTATGAGCGTGTTCTTTGGTAGACATAAGATGGAGGTTTGTATTTTTTTATCAACAATCGTGTATTTAAACAGAGTAGACCTCCGTGACAATGACCTTCTTGTATCGCTAAAATAAAGAACCTCATTCTTCGATCTTTTTTTTCATTTTAACATACCTTTATCTAATTCAATAAAGTCTAGTTCATAGTTAAATGGGTCTCCTTGTAACTTTAATCAAACTAAAATAGAACTCCTCTTGCACACCTGATGTAAAGTTTACTGCTCTTCCGTTGTTATCCATTTGTTTTTGTAGCTGGTTTTAACTATATTTCATGGACAATAATTTTCCAAAATACTTTTAAACTACGCGAACCTTCATTTTTATATGGTTTAAATAATTAAGTTTCCATCCACTGTTGAAATTAAATGGGTTTTTTCCAAAGCCTGTTGCAATGAGTGGTACACCCATGCTAAAGTTTAATGTCTAGTAATTACTTTATCACCTCCAACAACTTAATTAAAAAGTTAAAACTCATCATATTATATCATCAACCAAACACATAATACTTTCCTCTTTTTTGAAGAACTGAGGCTAACTTTTGCCAAAATACTCTAACAAGAATGATACAATCATTCAATTTCTTTGAGACGTACTTAGTAACTGCTTCTAAAATTTTATTTAACTAGCTATTATTGACTTCTTAAAACGTTTTGTTTAAAAAGAGACTTCAGATAAAACTTTTTTTTTCTAAAATGCAATGATTAATCAAATTCATCCAACCAAAATTTGAATAACATAAATTTGAAAGAAAAGTTGCATAACTTTATATACGCAAAGAAACTTTTGCAAAGACTTTTATTTTTTAAATTTTTAAAATGGAAATAGAAGGTCAACCATAAAAAATTAGCAAAAACTGAATTGTTTTTTGAATTTTTCTCAAAAAATTAATTAAGAATAACTGAAAGTTAGATAATTAAGAATAACTGAAAGTAGAAGGGTTTGGAAGGGTCAAATAATGCATACTGCAATTGATGTTTTTTACATAAAGAAAATCAATTAATGTACTCAGATACAATTAATGTACTCAGCATGTTTCTCAGATATAATCATTCATGAAATTAAAAGTAAGGTTTTTGTAAACCTTTTTTTGCAAAAAATTTATATTTATAACAGAAATTAAACATAATTAATAAACTTATGGGATGGAGACAATTTAATACAATAGATAATAAATAATAAGTAAATACTTGGATCATGCCGGTTTTTTGGCACAATTGGAGCCTGTAAAACTCAGAGAAACTGCAAAAAAATTTTAAAACCACAAAAAAAAAGTTTACTTTAAATAAATTTTGTAAATAAACTATTTATTGTTTCTAATGATAAAACAAAATTCTATAAAATTTAAAACAATTATTTTTTTTAAAACAAGTTTTAAAACAATTATTTTTTCACTTTATAAAAATTCTTATAGAAAGTGTCTCTTTTAACTTTTAACTCAAACTTAGTTAAATCATTTACTAATATGCGTAGTAAAAAAAAACTTCCAATACACAAAAAAATAACATAAAACCAAAAAAAATAACAACTAAAATAAAAAATAAATAAAAACAAAACGTGATTGCAAATTTCTAATTATTTGATAACTTTAATACACAATACTGCTATACTGCTCAAAATATTATTCATTTAAAAATGCTTTACCTCCATTATTTAAACAAGCAGCATCAAATACATTTTCCATTAAAGAAAGAACAGGTGCAATCACATGTAACTGAAAAATATCAAGGTAAAATTTACAAAGAAAAACATTTTTTACAAGGTAAAATTTACAAAGAAAAATATTTTTCAGATTTATTTTCTTGAATAGAAAACAATTACACTACAGGTGGTTGCACTATGCATTATTGCAGATGGTTGCACCCCAAAAACCACTTGAAAGTAGAAGGGTCTGGAATTTTTCTAGCGAACCTAGGGAAACAGATAATAATTCTTTTAATATTAGTTTTGAAAGATAAACCTAAATAGGTTTCTACCTGGTAGGTATGGTTTCTCACATGTGTTCTCTTACTAGAATGTTGAAGTTGACTATACTTTTTTCCAAGTACCCCAAAAACTACATGGACTAAGTTAGCCATAATTTCTGCCATTTGGGCAGAAATTGCCAACTTCTTTCTACCGTGGTAATTTGAAGATTGTGGAAAAATTTTAAATTGAATAAAAAATTTAATAGCTTTTAATTAATTAAAATTAATTACTCTAAGATAATTTTTGTTTGTCATCGTCAAAAAATATTTTTTTATGTTAATGCTTTGTGGAAACTCTAACATTTAACAATGTTTAGTTTTTTTGTGGTTTTAGATTTTATTTGTTATAAAAGTAAATAAAATGACTAAACTAAACTTAGAAATCTAAATACAAAAACTGATGCCATAGTTAAACATGCCAACCTAATAGGCAACCTATAAGTATCTGAGGTTAGCAATTTTCGCCAACCTTGTTTTGATGTTGTCATAGTGAAATTGTGCTAAAAATTTTGTGCCGATCTGATGCAGACCGAAAATAGTAGGTAATTTTTTACGGATTTTATACTTCTAATTTCTAGGCTGCATCAAAGGTTGCTTCTTTTTATTGTGCTTGTAATTTTCTTACTCCTGATTACATTTTCTACCTCTACAATTCTCCTATTCATCCCTGTATGGAATACTGTTGTCATATTTGGGCTAGTTCTTCTAAGGATGCTCTTTCTCTCAAAGTCCAAAAATGTATTGTCAACGTAGTTGAACCTCCACTACTTGCCAAGTTTAAACCTCTTTGCCATCATCACAAAGTTGTATCTCTTTCCCTTTTCTACAAATACTATCATGGTAGCTGCTCAAAGGAGCCTTCACCTCTAGTTCCATCAACCAAAACTCATTTTTGCTTGACTTTCCATTCAGCAAAGTCTCATTCTTTTACTGTATCTGTTCCTGCATGCTCTAAAAAACTCTCCCATCTTCATGTTTCCTGACTCATACAACCTACAACTTTTCAAGTTTTCTGTCAAACATTTCCTTGCTCTTTAACTCTGTTCTATTTTTTCTAGTAACTCCCAACTTAATAGCTTGTAGCTTTTTTGGGAGTGAATCAGAATAAATAAAATAAAAAACTAAGAACGATTGTTTACAAGCAATTAACAAACAATACATTATGTTTCTTAATTAGTTAATTTGTTAAATAAGTTAATTTGTTACTAAACAGCTAATTCTTAATGTGTTACTAATTAATACAGAGATTATAAAAGCAAAATGGAAAAAAAACAAAAAGCAAAACAAAAATAAAGAAAAAAAGAATTTTAACAAGGGGCAAATTAAATGACCGCAAATTGTGATATCTGAAAATATTTCTGATATTTAAATTCTCACTTTTATTGTTCTTATCAAAAGAATACTATTTTAATGAAAGGGTCAACTTATCATATTAGGAAAATTTGGAAAAAAAAATAAAAAATTTACAACTCCAAAAATAATAGCATTTAAAACTTACATAACTTAATTTGTTTGTTTAAACACTCGTTAATTTAGTAATTATTATTTTAACCTAAGTTAAAACAATAATTACTAAAAGCCTGAAAATTACGTGCGTCAAGCTTAAAATCAACCAATTCAAAATTGTACTAAAACTATTTGCACATTGTATGAAACAACAACATCTGATTTTAGTTCAGGGAAAACTTTAAAGATTTATTTATTTTAAAAACTAAATGTTTTAAATTGAACATAAATCAATTGATAAAAAAAATAATGATAAATAAATATGTTAATATATACGTTATTCAAGTTTTTAGTTTTATTTAAAAAATAACTAAGTTATTTAAACTAGTTTTTGAATGTTTTTAAACACCTCTGTATTATAAAAAAATATATGTAAAAAAATTGAGCTAATAAGATATATAAGCATTGACCATTTGACATGAAAACTCTAAGTATGATTTTAATAAGATTAACTTTGTTTGAACTCATCCTTATTTAAATAATATTTTCTTTTAAGAGATAATATGTGGTTGAAATGTTGATACAGATTTGTATGTTATCTATATGTGTTTATCATGTGTGATTGAGTTTTTCATTTAAAGATTCATATGTATATATATATATATATATATATATATATATATATATATATATATATATATATATATATATATATATATATATATATATATATAAATATAAGAGCAATTCTTATAAACTAGCGGCTTTCGACATGTTTTTATGATGTATGTTTTTCCTTGTTATTTTGTTATGGTCTCAAAATTACATTTAATTCGGACCGTAGAGAAAACTTTACTTTTCGGAAATTTCGATTTAGATATGGTCTCAAAATTACTTTTAATTCAGACCGTAGAGGAAATATTACTTTTCGGAAATTTTGATTTAGATATGGTCTCAAAGTTTCTTTTAGTTCGGACCATAGAGAAAACTTCACTTTTTAATAATTTTTTTCCCGCTTTGTACATCGTTTTTACATTACGACTTATATCGTTGTTATATTAACCACGGCTAGTTTTTTAACCACTTATTTGGCTTAAAATTATCTGGTTTTATTGCAATAGTTAGTTAGTCTTGTTGCAGTGTTTGTTGATATATTATTTATCTCCTGATTTTCATATTATTACTGTTTGTTTCATTCATTGCTCAGCTTTGTTTTAATTTTCACATGCACATTTTTCATCTTTATTATTATTCAGAGAATATTTTTATATCCTTCATTAAATGTTTACATATATGCCGCTTACATTTTTAAGGTTTTTGTGCAACATTCTTTTTCGCTATCATATATTATTCAATTATTGTTATGATTTTGGGTTTCGCGGGCTGCTTATTTTCCTACACTTTTGATTGGTTGTCAAATTTCGAATGAGGTATATATGACAGTGTTATATTGTTGGCTATTGTTGTTTTGTTGATATAAAAAAATTTTTCTAATGAGGTAAACTGTTTTCTGATAATAATACCTAATTGGTTTTATTTCTTAAAATAAATTTATGAATTTTTTTTTTTTTTTTTTTTATGTTTTTATTAGAATTTTAATTTATTTTGTTCTCATGTTTTCTTTTGGTGGTATGGTAAGTTTTTTATTTATTTATTTTTATTTTTGTTTGTTCAGTAAATCTACACTTTTTATATCATATCATCAAAAAAATATTGGTGCTCTACAAATTTGGGGTTGGTTGGGTTTTGGCTATTTGTAGTGAGTCCTTTTTTACTGCAGTATGAAATAGGTGTAAGTCGCAAGGTAAAGCATAAGTAGGGATGACGTTTGTCTGACGGGATAAACTAGTTATAAATGCTGATCCTCATCAAAACGCCAGTAATAATAGACGCGACTCTGAGGAGATGTTTATTACTTAATCACTACACAAATTATGTTTACACATTAACATTAATGTTTTTTTTCCATTATTAAATGCCTTTCATTGTTGTTAGTATATTTTTTATTTTGTGATCGGTTTTTTGTTTTATAAGTTTTTGTCTGGTGATGTATATCTTCGTTCATATTGGTGTTTATAAAACAATTTCTTTTTTTTTTATTTATTTATTTTTATTGTTGTTATTGTTGTGGGTGTATAGCCTGTCTTATTTATTTTTAAATATTCCTCTGTTAATCTTTATTTTTGTCTTGACAACTGTCAAAATATGCTTTGTCTAATAAATAATTCTCCTTTATTCTAATATACTTTATTTCTTCCCTCAGGCATTCACTGCTCGTGTGTGACCATTCGGCAAATTTTATATGCCAAAGTTTTTAAATAGTATGATTTAAATAAGATATTAAATAAGATTTGAAGAAAATATTAAATAAAATTTTAATACATAAAGATTTCAATAAAGCGGCAAATTAACATATTGCAATTTTCAATTACTTAATTTTGCCCCTTGTTTAAGGAAAGTTATAAGTAATTTAAAAAAAAAAGAACTTAAATTAAGAAAAATAAACTATTTGACACACATGAAATCAAAGTTTAAATTAAAAAAAACAGTGGTAAAAGTTTATTTATTTTTTAAATATTATGTTTTTAATTATGTTTTCTGATGTTTTTCTGGATTTGGTCTATTATTATCAAAAACTGATTTTTTGTTTTTGTAGTTTTTTGTTGCTTTTTTTCAACATTATAGATATTATTACTAGTTTTGTTGTTACTGTTGTCTCATTTATTATGATGTACCCATTGCAAAATTTAGGCTAATGCTGATACACAGATAAAAATCAATGCCAATTCAGATTAATTACCTGATGATTAAAAAATTATTCCAAGATCATCATGATCAATATGTAATCCAATTTACAATTTTCACTTGTCTTGCTGCTTTTTATAGTTTGTGTTTCTAGACAAAGACTAAGATAGACTACAAGTAGTTAAATCTTAAAACACCTTAAAACACCTCTTGTCTTAGGACTAAAAAAAAAGCTAGAAATGGCGTCTTGATAAAAATGCTGGGCATTAAATGTTAACTACAAGATACTACTACTGACTTTAAGAAAATCTTCTAGACTGCTGACCATTCCTTTTTCATCTATTAGGCCCATGTTAGTGCATTGTTGAGAGTACATAAGAAGCCCTATGTTACAACTTTGAGTTGGTTAGCAGAAATTAATGTATAGCTGTATAGCTTATTGCTTAATATATAAACAATATAGCTTAATTCTTAGAGTGCCATGCACTATCTGCAATTTCTAAAATTTATATAAAATAATTCTAAAAATTTAAAGTACAACTATAGTACCTTGAACCATCATTATTATCAAATTACTTTAATCTATTTTTTGCAACTACTTGTGGTCTTCTAAGTAACTTTCCATCAATATAAACTTGCAAAGTATAAGTTCAATACACCTATTTGTTTTAAAATCAAGTTTGAATCCACCGACTGATTAGAAAACCGAGATTGACTTCTCTACCTATTGATCAATCAGTCTTCTCGCTATTATTTGTAAAAACTTTGAGACTTTAATTACTCTTATTTGGAGTCTAACAACTTAATCTCTGATAACTAATACAGATTTCAATCTTCTCATTTTTCTACTGAATTCTTAACCATTATAATAGAAAATTTCTAAGATGCATTAAATGGAAGTAGTGAGACAATAACGATTGTGTCTGACATAATAAATGCGTTTGTTAAGGTCTGCCATACTGGTCATCTCAATAAGCACTCTTCATATGGTCTATCTAAAAGCAATTTGTCTTTAATGGACAACATACTTCTTTAAATCTAGTAACTTCTGAGGTACCACAAGGCTCTATCCTTGGTCCTGTGTTGCTCATATATATGATCTTCCTGATAATTTTAAATCTAAAGCAGCTCTATTTGCTAAAAAAATTTATTGTTTTTTTTTAATAATTAAAAATACAGCAAAAAAAATAAAAAAAATATGCAGTTTTTCAATTCAAACAAAATCCACAGAATGAACATAAAAAAATTACAGTATAATTTTTTTGATAGGCATACAATTTTATGAAAAATTCTTTCTTGTCTTATCAACTCATTTAACTCATACAACTTTAAGGCAGCCATCAATGTCTGCATATATTTAAATGAAGTATTTACAAATTTACAATGTTATCTCCTGCTAATAACAACTCCAAAACCTCAACAAGAAAGTCTTTCTTTTTTGAAGTGCAGGTTTGCCTCAATGATGCTATGACAGGATCAGATGAGCATAGAAATCTTTTCAAAATGTCCTCATTTGCCATATATCTTGAAGCTTTTCGAGCATGACATTCACGAAACCGTTTAAAATATTTGTTGGTTGACTCCTGTGCTTCTTCACTCATCATACCAATTGGAAGTGACATTCTATTAATTATCGCTGGGCCGTGGATCAGCAGTTTGTGGAGGCTTTGTGGCATGTAGTACCATGGGTACAGCTTCACAAACAACTTTGCAGTTTTTGTACATATCATGGTAAACTTTTCAGTATTTATTTCAAAGCCACTTGATATGGTTGACAAAATAATGTGCAATTTTAAAATTAGTTCCTTATTGACACCTGTTATATTTGCAAAAGAAATGGCATCAGTAAATGCTCTTCGAGAAGTGTTGCCATCATTAGATGTACCAGATCCTCCAGACTTTGGTTGATCAACAACAAGGCCCATCTGATGAAGAAAAGCTTTTTGAATGTGAGACTTTGTGTCAGCAACTTTTGCTTTGTCTTCTGCTGTTCTTGCTTGCCACTTTTTGATGGGCAATTTGTAACCAATATGCAGAAAACATTCAAAACATCTAATCCAGCAATGCAGTGTAGATAAACCATACTGCAAGCCTTTTGCCTGGTAATTTCTTACTATGCTGGCATCAATGTTGTTCATCTCTTTTGGTGAGCATCCACAGATAGAACAACACTGACTTGAGTTAGTGGCCTCAGATAAAGCTGTGTGTACTTTTCCATCAATCATTGTTATTTCAATCACATGCTTTACTTGAAGTTCTTTGCCATTGTTTAATATAATTTTTGTGCAATTTAAATTCCTAATTTCTTCTTTTAGTTGAGCTTCTTCAGAGATTAACACTTGTTTAGACTCATTTTCAAACTGAAAACGCAATGGGCGACAATACAGAGTTGATGATGGTTTTGGGTTTCGCCACAAAGTTGTCTTTTTTCCACCAGCAAATGTGCTCAAGTCAAGTGGTACAATGCATGTTAAAAACAAAGACTCTTCTATTTTTATATTACGAATACCACTTTCAGACAGTTTGCTTATAGACACTTTGTCCTGTTAAGCCATCAAATCCTGCTTTGTGTCTTAATGTAGCAAATATGGTTGTATCACTAGCAAATGTTTCAATAACTTTATTCTGTACTTGACATAGTCTTTGTGCAGTGTGGTCTACCAAGCTCTGCATTGAGATTTTAGCAAAATAATCAGCTATCTCTATTTCATTTGGATAGCAAGATAATTTTGCTGCCTTTATTATGTGATATGAAGGATAAAGTTCACAGTTTTTTTTCATAGCAACATTTCGATGTAGTTGATAGCCATCTTTGGTCATATTTGTATCTAAAAGTAAAGCTAGAGCCTCATTGCCAGATAGTTGTTGAGATACTTTTTTACTACTGTCAAAAATATTCTTTACTGCATGTAACTCATCAAGTTTATTTTCTTTTTTAAGAGTAACTTTTGCCGCAAAAAGTAGTTCATTGGATGAATGCCCTTGTTGTAGAGAGTTGGTACGCCTGTACTTTGTTCGAAGTGAACAGTCAAAATTCTCAATTGAAGGCCTGCCACGTGTATCTTGTTTCACAGGAACTCTTTGTGCCACTCTTTGTGTTTTTTTTCAAAACAAACACGGTTACCTTTTAAGTCCTGCCATCTTTTTCTCATGTGAATTAGCAATGTTTCCAGCTTAGGGTTAGGATTTACCAAATTCATGCCATTGACAACATAATTTAAAACACCATGGTCAGAGATTTTTTTTTTTTTTTTTTTTTTTTATTTGCATTCACTCCCAACAAGGCTGCAAGCAACCACTATTAAGTTGGGAGTTACTAGGAAAAAAAAAGAACAGAGTTATAGAGCAAGGAAACGGTTGACAGAAGACTTGAAAAGTTGAAGGTTGTATGAGTCAGGAAAACATGAAGATGGGAGAGAGTTCCAAAGGATTGAAGTGCGGGGAAAAAAACTAGATGAATAAAAGTTTTTAGAGCATGCAGGGACAGATACAGTAAACGAATGAGACTTAGCTGAATGACGAGTAAAACGAGAATGAATTTTAGTTGATGGAACTAGAGATGATAACTCCTTTGAGCAGTGACCATGATAGTATTTGTAGAAAAGAGAAAGAGATGCAACTTTACGACGATGGGAAAGAGGTTCAAGCTTAGCAGATAGTCCAGGTCCAACAACGTTTACAATGCGTTTTTGGACTTTGTCAAGAAGAGAAAGTGAATCGTTAGAAGAACCAGCCCAAATATGACAACAGTATTCCATACAGGGACGAATAAGAGATTTGTAGAGGTAGAGAATGGAATCAGAAGTAAGGAAATGGCGAGCACAATAAAGAGAAGCAACCTTAGCAGAAGCTAATTTAGCAATCGATTGTATATATGGTTTCCATGAAAGGTCAGTAGCAAGGGATAATCCAAGAAGACATAAAGAGGAGGACTCAGTAAGAGGATTGCCATTCATTAATATAGAAATGTTGACCATATTACGGTAGTTATTTGCAGTAAGCAACTGGGTTTTTTAATTTGTAACTTATTTTCTAGTATGTAGGTATATATATCAATGTATTTCATTTTATCCTATAAATTCAAAAATATACTCATTAGAAATCATTTTATCCTATAAATTCAAAAATATACTCATTAGAAATCATTTAAATGAAAGTATATTAGGTTTAAAGATGAAGTGTTTTATTTTAATTAAAAAAACCAAGTGATTAATTAAAAATTAATTTATTAAAAAACCTGTGATTTATTTGGATTTTTTAATTAAATAAAGTAAGTAAAAATTTACACTAAAATAACCTGTAAAAACATATCATCTTAAAAATAAAATAAAATTTCTAACTTACAAGAAAAAAATGTGCAGCGAAGTTATTTGTTTTTAAAAAAGATCAATCTATCAATGTATAAAAAAATTATAGCGCAAATAATTTAAATTAAAAAGTAGTTTACAGTTTCTGTGTAGCAACACATTTATTTTATTTATTTTCATTTAAAAACTTACAAATCTAAATAAAAAATTTAACTTTAACAAGCCATAAAAAATTTAATATAAAAGCTAGTGGCTAAAAAATATCATTTTTTAAAAGCTTGATAAGTATGGAGAACTACTATTACCAATAAACCTACATTGAACATAATTTGTTTTTTTTAATTTTGGCACACCTTGACCCACTGTGGATTGGTGAATTTTAGCCCAAACTAAACTCAGTTGTTTACTTCTAACTGCCACAACGTTTTTGACTAAATTGATGAATAACATCAATCTTTCTGTCACTTTACAAATTTTTTCACTACTGCAAAGTTTTGCTTATCTTTTTTTTGTTCACCATTTTCTGATTCCATCCTCTAACTCTTTTAACCTCCTATTCATTATTGTATATAATACTGTTGTCATATATGGGCTGCTACTTTTACTGATGCCTTATAATAATATAAAAATACATGTAACTATTTGCTAATTATTGAAAAAGTCAATAACTAGCAAATTATTTTCTAATGACGCAATTCAAAATCACAACATTTCAAACAACTTAAAACAAATTTTTTGTTCTAATTTTATTCTCTTTTTTTTCAAAATTGTTTTGTTGTAGTGTATATTGTTATTATTATTAATACTATTATCGTTATTATCGTTAATATTTTTAAAATGTCATAAATAAGCTGTCAGATTTTTTTCTATATCAAGCTTTTTTCAAAATTGCAAAATAAATATTAAGTGTGATAATTAAAAAAAAAAAAATTATTCTCACTTGTTTTTCTTCTAATGTCTCAAGCAGTAAAATTATATTTTTCCAAACAATCCAAAATATATCATTTTGCTTGATATTCCAAAACATTAACGGAAGACCTTCATGCATAGGTATTGTAGAAAACATCTCTGTAGAACTAAGATATGTTAGAAGACATTTAAGAACATATTGAGCTCTTTTTCGTGTTAATGGATCATAATCTATTAACCCTTTTTGTATAATATTCCAAAAATGTTCATTTTCTATAATACCACACGACACTGTTATTTGTGTGACATGAACAGCCAACAAAATTAGCAACTTTTTGATTTCATTTCTTTTTGATAAGGATAATATGCAACACCACAGTCTCTACAATAAAAATATTTTAAAAAAACTTTTAGATATTACTCTATTTGTTTGTAAACCAATTGCAGGTAGCCCTTACCTCATTTTCTGTTTTGCTTGAAGCATCATAGATTACAGAAAGAAAACTATTTAGGGAATTAAAATCTGCATCATTTATAAAATCACACTCTATCAGTTGCATGCAAACATCAAAAATGTCTGTCACATTTTTTTCAATATCAAGCTTTTTTAAAAATTGCAAAATAAATATTAAACTCTGAACACTAACTTGAGGCAAACCATCAGTTGATTCTGTTGAATATTTATCATTATTTATGTGCTCTTTTAGTAAAGTTAAACAATTTGACAAAACATTTGGTAACAATATATTGTTACAACATAATTTTAATAATAATAAAGCCAGATGATTAGCATTGTTATTTCTATGTGTTATTTTTAAATAAGGTAGACAAACTTGGAAAATAATTTTTTCTTTTAATATCTGGTCAACTTCATGTATTATGCTCTCACCATTCAATACACATTTAGCATCATGTGATTTAAAGTAATATACAAGAATTTGACACTGCTCAATGAAGTTGTCAATATTTCCAGAACTTAATGAAGTATTGGCATCACTAATTATGTCTTCTATATTGATTGATAATATCATTATGAATTCAATCCAATACAAAATCTAAATTATATGAGAGCTTTTATATGTAAAATAAAACGGCATTAACTTTTATCATTATAAATAAGAAAACATGAAAATATAAAATATATGTAGATTTTATTTTATATAAAATAACTCTTACCTTTAATTTTGCAAAACCCTAGAAATCTCAATAACCTTAAATCCTAGGATTATTGCTTTCTAAAAATAACAAAAAAAATCTTATAAAAAATGTTTTTAAGAATATAACTTTGTACACCACATGTACAACCTTATTTGTATGACAATTTTTTGTAATTCGGAACAAGTCTAAGGATATTCTAAAATAATGAATACTAGTGGCATTTAATTCCTATAACCCTAGCGATCTTTATCAAAAAATTCTAATAGTGTTATTGACTCATCAATAGTGATAAAAAAAATGAGCCTTTATAATACAACTTTTCAATTTATTGAACCTTTTAAGCACTGATAAGCTACTTCACTTTAATTTACAGCCCATTATTTAATAAAGGGTTTTCCTAAAAAAGAAAATCTTAACTTATTTTTACAGGCAGCCTTCAATTTTAGCAAATAATCTTTTGAAACTATTGTAAAACTTATTATGATACTATTGACATTTATATATTAAGGAATGGCAACTTTATGTTCTTAACTTCTTTATGTCTTCTTCAGATTATCATTAGTGACTTCTCATGGAAACCATATATACAATCAATTGCAAAGTTAGAATCTGCTAAGGTTGTTAACTTTTCAATAAAACTTCACTTTATGGTGCCCACCATTATTATACTCCTGATTTCATTCTCTACCTCTAAAAATCTCCTATTGTCCCTGTATGGAATATTGAATAATGACTTCTCATGGAAACCATATATACAATCAATCGCAAAGTTAGAATCTGCTAAGGTTGTTTTTTTCATCATGCTTGCCATTATTTTACTCCTGACTTAATTCTCTACCTCTGCAAATCTCTTATTCATCCCTGTTTTGAATACTGTTGTCATGTTTGGGCTGGTTCTTCTAATGATGTTCTTTCTCTTCTAAAAAGGTCCAAAAATGTATTGTAAATTTAGTTTAACCTGCTCTATCTGTCAAGCTTGAGTCTTGCTCCTATTATCACAAAGTTGCATCTTTTTCTCTTTTCTACAAATACTATCATGGTCCCTGCTCAAAGGAACTATCATTTCTAGTTACATCAACCAAAACACATTCTTGCTTGACTCGTCATTTAGCAAAATTTCATCCTGTATCTGTTTATGAATGATCTTAAAACTTTTAGTTGTCTAATTTTTTTTCCCCGGACTTCAACCGTTTGGATCTCACATCTTTAGGTTTTTTTGACTTATACTATCTACAACATTTCAAGTCTTTCGTTAACCATTTCCTTGCTCTTTAACTCTATTGTTTGTTTTCTAGTAACTCTCAACTGTTGGGAATGATTTAGAATTAAAAATAACTATAATCTTTATTCAACAAAAATAACATTATCATAAAAATGATATTTTTTGAAATTTTTTTCAAAAATATGAAATTTTAATGCAATTCAATCTAAAAACTAATTTTTATGTTAATGAAGAATTCAAAGAACAGATAAATTTTCTGATTTTTTAAAAATTACACTTTTATACATAGATGTCTTAATTATAATACACCACTAATAAATAAAGACTGGTTTCATTAAGTAACTAAAACTCATGATTTATGCTTAAAAGAAATTTATAGGTTAAACCTGCCTGCAACAGCTATAAGTATTCTTCCTATGAGTGTTTACTCAAGTAAAAGTAAAAAGTAGCTTATTAAAAATGTACTCAGAGTTAAAGTTACTGCGTTACCTTTTTAGTAACAAAGCTGTCGAATAAAAAAAACAAAAATCACATAGACTATTCTTTTCTGTAAATTTTTTTTTTTTTTGCATAGAAAATTTTTTTTATGGTTGCAAAAAGTGAAAAGAAAACAAGCTAAAGCAGTTAAAAGTCTACATTTTTTTCTAAATAATTTAAGTGTCATTTTTATTAAAATGAGCCAAACTCAAAAAAATTAAATCATAGTATTTGTGAAATTAAACATTACATAATAAATTTTTTTACTCAGTAACGCATATGATTTCAAATGTAGCGAACTACAATACTTTAAAAAAAAAAATACTTAAGTAAAAGTAGAAGTACACATTTAAAAAAATACTTAAAAAGTTTAAATTTACAAAAAAACTACTCTATTACAGTAACGTGAGTAAATGAAATTCGTTACTTTCCACCTCTGATTATAATAAAAGTAAAGTATTTTAATCATAAAAATATAAGATAAAAAAAATAAATAACAAAATAATATTAATATTATAATATAAGCATAGTATATTATATTTTTAGTTACAAGCATAATATTAATTATAACAATAAGTTAATGATTTATTATGAAGTTACACTCATACAGATTCTGATCAAAAGAGTGATACCATAAAAAAGTTTAATTTTATTAAAACAAATAGCACAAAAAACAATAAAGGTATCTAAAAACCTAACAAATAATTGAATAACATAAAGAGTTAAATACTACTACTAAATAAATACTACTAGAGTTAAATACTAGAATAAATAAGTTTAAACTTTAATTTATTGGAGAAAGAATCCAGTTGAAATACAACTGTTATTAGAATTGACAATGCAATTATTATTAGGATGGAGATGTTTGCTTGTGTGCAAATTTGTGTCTCTAATGTTAAAACATTTATGTTTGGTTTTCACTAGAATTGCATACTGTACATACTTGTATAGTACAAATGATTTAAAAAGAAAATAGAATTTATATAGAAATACTAGAGATTTTGAAAAAATTAATTGTTACAATTTTTTTTTTCATTTTTTTTTTTTTTTGTTTGTTTAAAAATATCAATACAAACAAATTAGAGGAATTTCTTCAAGTTTTAGATTTAGATCAATTAGTAGAAACTAAACAATATATGCTACTTTTAAGAATGCTAAAATGTTCAGTATATTGGGTTTGGACAGGTAGGTTTTTATACATTTTATGTATGAGATATTCAACACAGCAAAAAAAATTTAAACATACTATAAATTGATATTATTTTCATGTATTTATCTATTTAGCATAATGTATATATACCAATCTTAAATATATAATATCCACAAAATACTTTACAACTTATGTATCCTTAAATATAGTTTAGAATACATAAGTATATTATGATATCATATATTTTGATACTATGTATTATATTATTATATAATATTGACTATATTTTGTGGTTGTTTGTCTGTGCATAGACATAATTTAATAACTAGCACACGTGCATATTATATTATAAAATATTATATATATATATATATATATATATATATATATATATATATATATATATATATATACATATATATATATTTATATATATACATATATATGTATATACATACATATATACATGTTTATATATATACATATATATGTATATATTTATATATATATATATATATATATATGTATATATATATACATATATATATAATATATATATATATCATATATATATATATATATATATATATATATATATATATATATATTATATATATCATATATATAATATATATATATATAGATATATATATAATATATCATATATATAATATATATATATATATATATATATATATATATATATATATATATATATATATATAATATATCATATATATACGATATAAAGATATTGATATATATATATATATATATATATATATATATATATATATATATATATATATATATATATATATATATTATATAAATTATACATTGATGACCTACTATATTATATTATACAATAATTTATATTGCATGAATTTTGTGTATAAATGTTTTTATAATGAATGAATTACAAAATCCTATCTTGTAATTTCGAGACCTGACTTGAATATAAAAAATTTTATTTGACATAACACATTGTGTTATGCCAAAAGGTATACATATCTCTGCATTAATATATAATATATAACAACTAGATTTTTCTTTAAGATTTTTTTTTTTTACTAAATTTCATTTTAGGATCTTTTACTGAAAAAGTTAGTAATGCTTAAATGACCACTTAGAGCGCTTTAGATACTCTTACTCGCAACACGTGAATTGGATTTTCTACAAACAACGTTGATTTACGTAAGAATTAAACTTTGTAAAGAATAAACGTGTTAATAGCGTGGGGACGACTGAATAAGCGAGAATTTCGTAAGTGCGAACTTGCACAGGGTAAGTTGGCGAATTTGGGGCGAATCGAATTTCGATGAAATTTTTTGGGGCGAAATTTTTTGGGGCGAAAATTTTTCGGGGTGAAATTTTTTGGGGCGAATCGAATTTCGTGCAAGCAGCCTTTCGCATCAAAAAAATCAAACTGACGCTAATTTAATCAAAGTGTTGTTTCACGTTACAGTTAGTACAACCTTTCCGCATCAAGTTACTGCTAACCCCATGTCGGTAGTCCAAATATTTATATTAAAAAAGCTATTATAAGTTACGATATATCGGTTTTTCACGTAAAGTGAAAAAGCGTAAATCTTTTTACACTTAACTTTTACACTTAACTGTACAAAAATAAAGTACGACATTTCTTTGAAAAAAGTACTAATCGTTCCCCAAGTTTAACGAATATGTTTGGAAAGGTAAATAATAATAATAATAATAATAATAATAATAATAATAATAAACAAATACTTCTTTGATGTAAAAAATTTCTGCAGGAATTATCATATGCACGAAGCATCATATTTCGTGCATTATGCCCGAAATTTAATTTACATAGAATTAAATTTCGTGCATTATTTTATTTTTACCTAACAATGATTTTGAATGCTTTTATGGTTTTTAGTCTTTAAAAGCATTTTTAAGGTTGCTAGTGATGTTATTAAGACAAAACAAAAAAATTAAAGCAACAGGTGCGAATTTATCCGCATGGTTTTAACTAAGCAATATTTGAATTCAAGTTTCAACTTTTTAAAAAAATAGTGTCATCATAGTAGAATATACAAGTTACAATTTTTTAATTAAGTTTTTATCGTGACTATTGATTCTAAGAAAAGACAGAAGTACCAAAAATATAACGAGGAAGCTGTTATGGCCGCAGATACGGTGCCGCCAAGCAAAAGATATATTAATGTTGTTTAAAATATTTATTTACTTACTATGCTAGATGTAATTCTCCATAAACAATGAAATTGCATAAGATTTTTTCAG